TGACAACCAAACAAGTTCACGACCACAATGAACATAATAGAGAACTTAGTTCTACAAGAAGATGAGACTGGGTTGTCTTTGTTGTCTAATTATACATAAAAATCCGGGCGGTTCAAGACATCATGTTCACCTCCTGGCCAAGTAAACTCGACAGATATCAACAATGAATAGTTCAAGGCTGAAATATGCTACTATATCATACACAGTTAATTTTTCGCCTATACTCTCGAAAAGTCCTAGTGTCAAGTCCTAATGTGTCTGCATAGTCTTACGAGTTAGTAGAGTCTGCATATGTTTTAGAGTAATTTCTATTCATGTGGGAGATTGTTGGAACTCATTTTTGACAAATGGGTCATGCCAGTTTTCCGGCGACATTTCCGGTGAGCACAGTTACCGAAATGACCGGATTATGGATTCTTTGGATTCCTTGTAATGAGTACTATAAGATAATGTATTCATTTGTCAAAAACGAAGTTGATTTGAATGAGAAATCTTTGGTCAAAGTGGACATGTAATCAAGACAAAAAGTCAACAAATGTCAAGATGAGCATTTGTCCCACATCGAAAGTTGGAAGAATTTTCCACTAGTATATATAGTGACACACTCTCAACAAGGTTCACTAGCCTTTAGAAGAGGACAATATGGAGAAGGAGAGAAAGGGCTGTTATGCAAAACCACACACACGAGCGTGCGCGCCGAGCTCGGGCTCGGGCTTGGGCTTGGGCTTGGGTCTTGTGGGCTTTCGCCCACAACAAGATGTTCTTTTTGGAGTAAATATTTATTAACTTATTTTCACAAATATGTTAATATTCATTAAAGATAATTTGCATAACTCGATAAATCTTTATGATTGGGTCGAAAATTAATAACAGAATATTTCTGTAATATATCTGTTTCGCCCAGATCCTTATCAGAAAGGAATAATATATCTATGAGTGGCGGCCAAGGCAAACCCTTGCGCCCCAATCCTTCTATCTGCTATATATACTCGTCTCTCTCATTCATTATTCTTCATCAGCGAAAACTTATAGCTTTCGAAAACACAAATATCCAGCAAATCCCTCTCGTCTCTACAGTCTTAGGTGAGTCTCGAGAGTAGAGCGTAGAATATTCAGTTCGCAGATTCTATAGTCGGGTGTTGCGACTTTAGTCTCAACACGGTTGTATCCTGGGATTCTGAATCTCATCAAACCGTCACACTGCGGGAGATTTAAAGAATTAAGGAAAGAGATCATATCTTGACTCCGTGTATCGTCTTTCCTTAAAGATTTTATTAAAGCGTTTTATATTTTATTATCGTTTATTATTGATTTGAATCGCTTTTATATTTGTGATTTTCAATCTGGATTTTCGCGGTCCTACATCATTCTCTAAATCAAATGTATGCATGTCGAAGTTAGATAATTCATTAGGTGTCATTAATAAAATTTTCCTTAATAAAATTTATAATTTTATAACAAAAAAATAGGAAAAAGTACATATTATGTTTGGAGGAATTCCTCTTTATAACCTAAAAGTTAATTTTTTCTCAATATGTAGACTTTTTATTGAATGTTTGGCAAAACTAGCCCAAAGGGGTGGTGAAATTACAGCTCAGTCATTTGTGAAAAAACAAAAAACGTCTGCCACAGTTACGATTTTATCCTTCGAGAAGTCTACGTAAAAAGTCTACAATCGTTGTAGACTTCAAAAGAAATCTACTACATAATTTTTTTTTTAAATTAATTAGAAAATATAAAATAAATAAATTTCTAAAAAATTGGTAAACATAAGTAAGACATAAATATTTGACATGTATATAATACAAAATTTCATATAAATGAATCAACTTAAATGCAGAAAGAAAATTAACTAGAAAACATACAACCCCTTAGAAGTCTACTAAAGAAGTCTTCTACAGAAAACATACGTATGCAGTAGACTTCTCGAGTAGACTTCTCCAATAGACTTAAAAAAAACATAGCGGGAAATCAAAATTATTTAACAAATTGGGCGGGAATCAGAACAAATTAGGCGGGAATCGAAATCGAAAAAATATACAGAAGTAGACTTTTCGAGTAGACTTCTCCAGTAGACTTCTTAAGAAGTCTACTTAACCGAAAATTTTCCTACATATATAAGGAGATTAACCTAATTGGGTTAAAAATAAAGTTTTTCTCTCCCTCTAAAAAATGTCTCTCTCTCCTCTACCTCCTCTCTAGCCATGAATCTCTTCTCCTTCCTCTCTTACCATCAAACACATATCTATCCTCCATCATCTCTATCTCAATTATGGTGATGGTAAGCAAATCTGACGTTTTGTGTTCATATTGTAAATCTGGGTTTATTATTACATATTTGAGCTTCTTGTTGTAGATCTGAGTTTATTCTTGCAAATATGCACTTCTTATGGTATAATTTTTGTATAATTTATTGCAGATATGATTTTTTTTTTTTTGCAGATCTGATTTTTTTTTTTTTTGTAGATCTGAATTTTTAGTTGTTGCAGATCTGATTTTGTTTATTTTGTTGCAGATCTGAATTTTGTTTATTTTGTTGCAGATCTATAATTTTTTTTGTTGCATAGCTGCTTTCTTTTTTTTTCCCTTTTGCTGCAGATATGATGTTTGTAAATATAACATATTTTGTTGAAATATGAATTTTAACATTTGTTTCTTATTGTGCAGACCTGAGCTTATTTATTTCTCTTTTGCTTTTGTTGGAAGCAGACTTCAGCTGCAGATTTCTCGAGTAGACTTCTCGAGCAAACTTCTCGAGCAGACTTCAGTCACATACATCTATTTCAGACATTTAGTTTTTATATGCTAATTTTAAGATTTATAATTAGTGATCCTTAAATATTTGTTTGATTAGAAGGTCTACTTTATATGTAAAGTTGGATTGCAATTAATTTTATTTTTATATATTCTTAAATTATGTGTGTTTTATCATATTCAGATTTTATATGCAGACTTCTTTGTCAGACTTAGTCATCACCATCTTTGAACCTCTAATAACACAAGAAAATTAAATCAATTTAACTATACAAAAACATGTAAAACTCATAACAAAAAAAACATGTAAAACTACTTAGAAATACCACAACTAGTCTTTCTTCACACATTCTCAATAAACAGTGGGTATGTGAACCATTCTCTGTAAGAAAACAAAATTCAAACCACATTAGAAATCATTATCAAAAAAGTAGACTGCAAACATAGTCTACTATGTAGACTTCAAATGAAGTCTGCAGACTAATAAGCTAAATACCAAATAAAAGAAGAAAATTAGTTAAAGCTAAACTGTAACAAAAACAAATTTCAAACTCATACATAAGCAAGAACAATAAATATCACACACTTAAGAGTCAAATAATAAATTTTATTTGTTACAAATATCTGATCAATTAAATTTATAAAAAATTAATGTCGCAGCCTGCAAATGAAGTCTACTATGTAGACTTCAAGTGAAGTATACGGACTAATAAGCTAAATACCAATTAGAACAAGAAAATTAATTAAAGCTAAACTATAACAAATAAACATGTCAAACTCCTACATAAGTAAGAACAATAAATAATACACACTTAAGAGTCAAGAATAAATTTTATTTGTTACAAATATCTGGTCAATTAATTTAATAAAAAATTAATGTCGCAGACTGCAAACAAAGTCTACGGACTAATAAGCTAAATACCAAATAAAACAAGAAACTTGATTTCACTCCGAGAAGTCTACTCGAGAAGTCTACGTAAAAAAAAGGTTAGTTTTGCAATTGACCAAACTTTGACTTTTTCGTAAGAAGTCTACTTGCAAAAGTAGACTTTTTCGGAAAAGTCTACTTTTAAAGTAGACTTCTTAGAGGTTAGTTTTGCAATTGACCAATGTTGACATTTCACAGTAGACTTTGTTTGAAGTCTACTTCAAAAGTAGACTTCAAACGAAGTCTACTTGGATTAGTTTTGGGGTTGACCAAACATTGAATTTATTTTCGAATAGACTTTTTTTGAAGTCTACTCAGAAAGTAGACTTCAAACGAAGTCTACTCGAAAAAGTCAACATTGGTCAAATACAAAACTAACCTCTAAGAAGTCTAAGTTCAAAGTAGACTTCTCCGAAGAAGTCTACTTTTGCGAGTAGACTTCTTACGAAAAAGTCAAAGGTTGGTCAATTGCAAAACTAACCCCTTTTTACGTAGACTTCTTTTGAAGTTTACACTATTTTTTTTTTGTCAAAGGAAATGGCGCAGACTTCAACTGAAGTCTACTGTCAGAAATTGGTACACCCGGTCAATTGCAAAACTAACCTGTGTGTTGACCAGCAGACTTCTTTTGAAGTCTATTACCGACAGTAGACTTCTTAAGAAGTCTACTTTCGCAGCACAGATCTGAAAACTCACGAAAATTGACTGAAAAATCACCTATCAGTGGTATTTAACTTATTCCAACCACTGATTTCTTTGATTCCAGCCACCACCAAACAAGCCCAAACGATTTGCCAGACCAAATCACCAAATATGGCTATATATTAAAACATCAAGTTTCAAAAATTTAGATTAGAGAGTTTTTGTGCTGAAAATGGTGAAAAAATGGAAGAGTAAAAGGTTAAGAGAAGAGGAAATGAGGTTACAAAGCTAAAAAATGGGTCTTTGAAGCAACAAAAGCTTCAAATTGGTTGAAAATGGTGGTTGAATGAATTGATGGTGATGGTATTTTCGTAAATAAGTGAGGAAGATGAGGATTGTTTGGTAAAATAGATTTCCAAAATAATAATAAAAAACAATAATCTAATGGTATTTTCGTAAATAAATAAAACTGATAAGGATATAAGTGAGATAAAGTGGTTAATTTCAAAAGTGGTAAAATGGGAGGTTAGTTTAGCAATTGACTTGAATTTATGGGTTATTTTTGCAAGATTCCTATTATGTTTTAGTTTTTTTATAAAAGAATATTTCTATAAATATATTATAGCTTTAATAATTTTAAAGATATTAGTAAAGAAAAGAATTAAAATAAATTATTAATACAGATGCGCATAATACGAATTAAAAGCCTAATATTAAATAATTATATAGTTATTTAGTTGTTATTACAAAACAATATCGAATCATCAAATTTTAAAAGAACGATAAACACGAGTTGAGTCTAGCAAATAATAATGCTAAGAAGATATTAAAGTGATCAACAGCTTGTAGATTCACCATAGATATAGTCAAGAACCGATATTACTCCAAAAACAAAAGCTTTATCCACATTGGCTTTTGTCCCTACCTTATATATATCTCTGCTCCCAATCCATTCTTTTACTTGAGCAATGACGTTTCCGGTTGAATCGATGATACTACAATCCCTATCTGGGAAATACCCTTTCACATCAAAGTAGGAATTCCCCGGTTGGACCGATATGCGGATTGAACCGGTTATGGAGAAGCAAGAGTGTTTGGGATCCTTTAATGTGAAAACCGGTTTAGGTCTTCCTTTGTAGTCGTAACTACATCCTCTCCACTTGTTATGAATGCTAAGAGCCTGCACTATTCCTCCCTGCGCCACCAACACATATGAGTGGTAAAGAAAGTACACCAAATTTCCCAAAAACCACTCCAAATCAATTTTCTTTTTTCTCTGAAGGAATATCTATACCAAGTAGGTCTTTAACTTGACGTAAGGTATTTGATTTAGGCCTTTTAATATTATACCACTTCTGGGGTCTAGTCTTTAAAATTTAGTGGTATTTATCTATTGATAAAATAAATGTTTATTTCCATTTTGTTTCCCCAAATTTTAACTTCAAATAAAGCATTAATCACATATAATATTGTACAAAATAATTGAATTTAGGATGTCAATTTTATTTGAAAATCATATTATAGTTTTTGTTTCCAATTCCTTTTTAAGTCTCCAAAATTCTAAAATTGTAAATCAAATTTCAAGAGTCGTTAGAGATTATAGTTCATATATGATTCTAATATCCTGATATCACTGGCCTTTAATCATGAATTGTAAATCAGTTTTCACTTGTCGTTATTTAGATAGCTCATTCACCAATTAACACTATATAGTCTATATCACCTTTCTTTTAAAAGCTTTTTTCTAAAACTTTTTTTTTAAATCATGATATTCACGAAACGACATAAATTTATATTAATCATTTGGTTGGTCTATAATCGAGATTGTCATGGGACAAATGTTGAAAGTTTAGCATAATAGTGGAAAGGTACCTTTTTGTGGATGAGAAGCAAGTCATTACCATCACCATCTTTAAGAACTAACTCTCCTCTAGTGCCAAGAACTCCACAACCGTCGATCTTGAAAACGGTCTTCTCTTTGCAATCTGTCACCACAAAGCCACCACCATTGACCACGTGTGGCCGCCGTCTCACCAGCATCACATCCTCTGTCGAGGAACAATGCAATTTGCTCACCACAGCTTTCATTTTCGTTAATTCTACTAACAAACTAAACTCTTGGACTTTTCTTTTATATATATAGTCGTATAGGTTACCTTTTTCATTTAGTTTCTTGACTCTAAAGAAAGCAAAAAGAAGAAGAAATGGTCCATTAGCTGGTCAGTTTTTCAAATGTTCGGCAACGTACGTTTGACTTTTAAGCACCATGTTTCAACATAATTTTGTATTTTTTTGGTATTAAATCTCAAAATAATCTCAATATTAATATATGTGTACGTTCTATTATTGAATAGCGCACATGGCAATATTCATATTATCCAGTAAATACTGAACCGTGGGAAAACTGAATCACAAAACAAAGAATTTTTCCCGAGACCTAAAAATCCAAAATATAAATTTTAAGTTCGTTGATATATAGAAAATATAAAGAAAAAAATACATGAGGAATATAAGAACTTTAGTAAGATGCGACTCCGTGTGGGAGATTGATTACTTGTGAAGGCGGAGGATAATTGTGTGTAAGCCAAAAGCCCCTTTTTCATCTTCTTTTTTATTCTCTCTTACCCATTTCAAAATAAACAGCTTGCTTTCCATAGAATACAAATGAAAATCCCTCATTTCTTTCGGCCATTAAACAATTATTCATGAATATAATTTCTAACGTACCTAAGAGATTATATATGGCCACCGAGTGTATTTGCTTATTAGCTACTACTTTTTTGAAAGTCATGGATGCATATATAACTTGAATTATATATAAGTTATAACCCAAGTTAATGTTGTGTATAAGTGGTTCACATAAGGAAGTACTTATTTCTCGTCTTGGTCAAAAAGACGATTCACATAAAAATTTCAAAGATAAGTTAGTTGTGAATTTGTTGACTTGTCATTGACTTTAGTAAAAGAAAAACGTTTAAGATGTTTCGGGAGAGAAGACAAAATTAACATGGGACAGCCACGTCGCCGGAAACATTTAATAATAAGAGGACACGAAAGAGTGAACTAGATCAGTAACACATATTTGAGACAGATCTAAACTAGGGGTTTAGTAGTATATACTAATACTAGTATCTATTTGGGATGATTTTTCACTTGTAGAATAAAAGGCGACCTACAGAAAAACCGATTGTTAGCAAGAGCCTAAAGAAATACGCAATCATCCAGTAGATTAATTGTCTATGTAATCATGTTGTTGTTGCATGTTGCTTTAATAATTGTCATTTCGTATAAACTAATATTTTCTTAATATATATGGATGTTATAATTTAAGTTATAGCCCTATGTTATGTTTTAGTGGTTTACACTAAGAAACTTATTACGGCTTTTTAGGTCAAAAAGACTACTCTCATCAAAATTAAAAGATACGTTAGTTGTCGATGTAACTTGTATTGACTTTAGTAAAAGGAAACTTTAAAATGTTTTTAAGAGGGACGGCTGCTTATTCCCCCTTTACAATGCTGGTTCTGCTTATTTTCACCCAAACTTTCAAATTCTTGATATTTCTTTTCATACTCTAACATTTAATTATAAAATCACTTAAAATTTTTGCTCTGTATAATTACATCTAAGAAGCTAAAATCCTTAAATTGCGATCAATTAAACAAAATCGCGTTTACAAATTTATGATTGCTTGTTAACCGATTAAACCAAATTTTTTGGTTATTAAAAATTGACCCAATACCAATTTGATCAATCCTAGATGCTAAATCCGACTCAACATAAGGTTTCTCTTCTTCTTCGTTAAACTCATAATTTGGGAATAAGGTTTCTCTTCTTCTTCGTCCTCAACAAACAACGACAGAGTTGAGAGAGACGAGAGAAATGAGAGAGACGAGAGAGACGAGAGAGATGAGAGACGAGAGAGACGAGAAAGATGATAGACGGTTTCTTATGCTCTAATGCAGCAGAGAGGTTATCAAAACTCTAATGCACGCAATATTATAGTAAAGCAAGCAGGAGAGTGTCAATCCACTTCTAGGCGATAGAGAATCCACAGAGAATGTAAGGTCTAAGGCAAATCTAAGCAAAATGAGACAGTTTATGAGAAATTATCTAAAAACTAAATGCAGCAACCTAAACAGGGTGAAACCTATTTTAAAAATACTAGAAAGGAAGCAACTACCACGAGAAACAAACAGATTAATTAAAGGAAGGAGCTTCGAATTGTTAAAATTCGACTAGTGGATCGACCACAAGATCGACCACTAGATCGAGCAGTAACGATCGATCTCGTCTAAAACCGTAAGAACGACGAATCTAATGACCAGGATGCTATCAGATAACAAGCGAAAGATGAAATGAGACGTAAATATGCTAAAAGAAAAGGGCTTTAGGGTTGAGATTAATGTAAAGGGTTTCAAAGGATCGATCTTGGGTTTGAAACTTTAGATCGACTCACTTGGTGAGGATCTCTAAGCCTCGAAAACAAAACAAGATCTATCCGTGGCTTTCGGTATAGATCACTCTTTCATCCTCTCCTCCAAACCCATGGCTTTTGGTGGAAAGAGAGGTTGAAAGGCAAGGAAAACAGATTTCGAGTAATGGCTTAACTAGTCCCCCAAATTTCCATGGCTTTTGGGAAGGGGTAACTAGTCTCTAAGGTATGATCTTCTGAGGCTCCTGGATCCTGTCAAGGTAAGGAACCTCTCGGATCATGAAGCTCTTGGCGTGAGAGTCTTCAAGCATTAAGCTTTCAACACCTTAGAAGAGATAGCCTTAAAAACGTTTAGAAAACAAACCTAGATCGAACCTTTTCTACCCTTTAATCCTCTCAACCCCGAACCCAAAGTAAACTACTCACTACACATAGAGTAAATCAAGCAAAGCGGAAGAAATGAAACGATAAACATGAACGAAAACTCGATTAAACGATAAGGATTCAAATACAAAAGCTTCCAAAGAAAACTGGTTCAACAATGGTGTTCTTTTTGAAAAACAAGAGAGAAAACCTAAGAAAAAGGATAAGGATCTAAAAGTTGTCCCCAAAAGCATCTCGCCGCCTTGCCTAAAATGCCCAAACAATCCAATGGTCCCCCCTTCGCTAACAGCTAAAAACGGTTGAAAGGACAGAAATCGACCACTGGATCGAGTGGTTCTCTCGATCGCATCCGGACATCGTGTCTTCGGCTCGATCTGGGTCTCGATCTTTATCGGCGAATCGAGTGTTGCATCCGATCTCGGTATCGATCTTCGGGTGGATCGAGTGGTGTACTCGATCTGGCTCTCGCTCTGCATGACGTCATTTACGTCCGTACCGATTGATCGATTGCTTCACTCGATCTCCGTCTCGATCATTCTCCTTGGATCGCCTAGTTGGCTCGATCTTCTGGTCGACCAACTCCTAGATCGACCGGCCATGCTCGATCGCTGGTCCTTAGCATATTCCCGAGCTCCCATGAACTGCTACATCAGCCTCCACACCTCCACGAACCTCCATGACTCCAAAGCAGCCAGAAACAACCTGAATGTGATGCAAAATGCAGAGAAAATGCACATGCTGATGCAAGAATGCTCTAGGACCCTAAGTGATGCAATCTAACCTAAAACATGATACAAATGCATGAAAAACTACCTAATGAGTATGCAAAATGTATGCAATATGCAATGACATCAACTCCCCCAAACTTACTTCTTGCTTGCCCTCAAGCAACAAAAAACAAGTAAGGAAGAGAGGTTTTCAGAAAAATCAAAGGGGTTTTAAATTTTTTGCAAAAGTGCCTTTCAAATGGATCATCTCAATGTCCTAGTTAACAGTTCTAAAATGCTATGCCTACACTCATACTCCAAAGGACTTAGCCATACTCATCACACAAAGAAATTCAAATCATGACTCTCCTATTCCTAACAATCAAAGAAACTCATCCTTTAACATTCATTAACATTTGAACCATGAATCAAACTTATGCACTTTAAAGCAAAACACATTTGGCTAAGGGTTATGGTTATGAGCATAGAATGATCACATTTGAAAAGGGTTTATAATTAGACAAGGGTTTCTCTCAAAAAATGGTTTGAACTTATGCATAATGCTAAAGGTAAAGATAATTTATGCATACATGATTAGATTCTCATCTACCCATGTAAACTATCAAACGGTCCTATACCCCTCTCATTTAAGAAATTTTATCCTCACTCACCACTTAAGAGTCTACCCTTTCCTCTCAACTTAGCAATCCCCAATTCAAAATAAAAACATTTTTAAACTTTTTAGGCTAGTGAAAAGGTTTTGAAAAATACTTTTGCTCTTAGAAATTTCTTATTAGTAGCTCTCTTATTATTATTATTTATTTTTTTTTTCTTTTCAATTTTTTTTATTTGGCACTTAGGCTCTTTTTATTTCTTTTTCTTTTCTTTTCTCTTTTTTTTTTTTTTTTATTTTTACTTATTATGAGAGAGCTACTTTCTGAAATTAGAGCATACTTAGTTTTAAAAGCAAACCTTTCACTTAAAACCTCATTTCTTTCCTTAAAACACAAACTCTTTGAAACCGAAACAAATAGACAAGAAAGCAACCCCATTGATCCCCCAAACTTATCATAAACCAACACCTAGCTTCAAAATGCAAAGCTAGCAATCAATATGAAAACCAAATCATGTCGCCTAAACCTAACACTTTATGCCAAGTTCAAACCGAAAGTAAGGCCTCACAAAGATGTCACACAAGAACATTTGGCTTCAAAGGAGGGTAAGGTTCAAGGAGGGAGTTCTACTTAGGCCCACAAAAAGTGGTAAAAAGGAAGAAGAGAGCCTAAATATTTTAAAGCCATGTGTTCATTTTCAAATGCATAAGAATGATAATTAGATTTTCAAATTAAGGTTTTCACTTAGTAGGATGAGTTTCTTATCATGAGAGTTCAATTCAAGCCACGAAAATCCTAACTAGTGATCCAAGCATGGTTAGAACTTACTTTCAAAGCATAAACAAAGCATTAGAGAACTACCAACTAGGGCATTGAAATGATTCATAAGTAAAAACACCTTTTTAAGAAATTCTAACCCCTTATGCAAAATGCAAACAACCTAGGTGATATGAGAAATTCTAGACTCAATCCTAACATGTTTTAAGAAATATGAATGCAACTACATGAATCTTTGAAAAAATTTGAAAATTTTTACCAATTTTTCATGAACTAAGACTCAAGGATGCAAAAAGGAAAATAAGAT